ACTCCTGGGCACCTTCCCCTTCAGCCCCTCAGCCTTCCCAGAGCAGCGAGTACCTGAGGTGCATGGGGTTCTGTCTGTGCTCTGGAACTCTAGGGGTCTGGCTCCTCTTTATCTCCTTCAGAAAATTAAAGGCTTGGGAACCTTCAAAACCATCATCAGTGATATACACACAATCCGGTCTTGGCAGTTGCAATGAAACAAAAAATTGCTCTGTGGGTTATTTTCAGAAAGTCTCTCCGCCAGAGTCTGCCGTCACCTCCAGGAAGGGTCCCCACATCAAGCATGACTGGCAAGGACAGGGTTCTCCTGGCAATAGCTAAACGAGTGGCCGAGTGGCCAGGGCTTCAGCCTCGGAGAGTTCGCAGTCACAGGGCAGGCGGCTGGGGCCAGCGCTGCCTCCCCCAGGAGTGGTTCAGGGAAAGCTCCCAGCCCACGGCCTCCTGAGAACATGAGTGTCCCTCCTGGAGTCTCTTGTCAGCCTTGGTGGGGTACTGTGCACCCCTTAAAACGGGGTAGATGACACTACCAGCCTCCTCTCAGGGTTGCTGAGAGAACTGAGGAGGGTAAGACGCGTGAAGTGCAGGCGGCCTGTGGGGCCATGGACCAGAGTCTTTGACTTCGTTCACCTCGCACTCCACGGCACCCCTCACCCCCCCACAGCTGTTACCACGTTGCCTCCAAGGATGGGAGCAGGGCCCCGCCTGCTGGCTGTGTCCTGAACTGCGCCTCGGCCCCAGCTCAGAGGTGGAAAGCTCTGGGGAAACAGCCATGATTTTTATTCCGTGGCTACAGATACCAACCCCAGGCCGCAGGGCGCGCACCCAGAGCTTCCACCACCTCTATCGTATGCTGGGGCTTTAATCCACCTTCATTCCCTTTGTGCCCGCAGCTGCCCCTGCTTGAGGTGCCCTCACCCCACCACTTGGAAAAAAACAAAAAACAAAGGTCACTCCTCTGAAGCTTTCCAGGAGCTGCTTTTTTTTTTTTTTAAAGATTTTATTTATTTATTTATACAAGCACTGGGTACAGTCAGAAGCACGGGAGGGTGAGAGAATTCACCAGAGCCAGAGCGGGGAGCAGAGCAGGCAGAAGGACCGAAGTTCACTGCTGAGGGGAGCAGCGGGCGGCAGGAGAGGTCTGCGCGCCATGTGGGACTCTCCTCTGGTGGCCGGGGAGCAGCCGGGGATCGAACTGGCGCTGCAGAGGCTGCAGGCAGCTTCACAACCCAGCGCTCAACCGCTGCGCCACCGGGGAGGCCCAGATTTTATTTATTTTTGAGTAGAAGAGCTGGGGTATAGGCCAGAGGTGTGGGGAGGGTGAGAGGATTCACCAGAGACAGAGTGGGGAGCAGAACAAGCAGACGGACCGAAAGCACTGCTGAGGGGAGCAGTGCGTGCGACAGGAGAGGTCTACTGCGCCATGTGGGTAGCTCCCTGGCCAGGGATCCAACTCAGGCCTCAGCAGTGACAGGGCTGAGACTTACACCCTAGGCCACCAGGGAGAACCTAGGAGCTTCTCCTCATAGCCCCTTTCCTTCCTGCAGACGAAACCACTGAGGAACATTCTCTTCCACATTCTTCCAACATTTGGACTTACCTCTGTGGCAGAGCATTAGAATGCATGTCCCCCTAGCTTGGAGGAGACTCACTAGAGGTCAAGGGTGGCCTTGTTCATCTGCTACTCGAAGACTTTTTCTAACACTTGAATCTGACCAGTAACTGTCCCATCTGAAACTTCCCCAAGGAAGAAGTCTCCCCCACTCTGGACGAGCTCTTGCCAGCTCTGGGTAAGGAGGGTGTAGGAGGGGGAGAGTCATCTGCACTTTCCAAGATTTCTTCATGAGTGTGTCTTTGCTAATTTTTTAAGTAGAGAAAATATTCCTTCAGAGGTTCCTGGTACTTTCAAATTCCCCAGCAAAGCTCAAAGGGTCTCTGCCGTTCTGATTCCTCTTCCTCCTCCCCACCAGTCATGCCTGCGTCCTCCATGTCCCTCTCACATTGGCTCCTGCCAGGACAACCTTGGTCCACACTCTCCCACACAGCTTAATCCTGCTCACTCTTCAACGATCCGTTCAAATGTCAGCTTCTCCCTAGAAGCCTCCCTGACCCCCAGGGCTTTGCTCATCTCCACTGCCCTGACCCTGTCTACACCTTGAGTAAGGTGCTCAGCAGTGGGGAGTGTGCGTGTCCCCCTTGTAGACAGCCCCTCGTAGGGAGGACATTTCCACATCCCGGCTCACACATGTTCAAGCCACTGATGGAAAGAAGCGAGTCCCCCCGGCATGGTTGCTCACAAGCAAAATGAAGGATCTAGACAAGATCCCCTAAGTCCCTTGGGCCCTAAAATTCCAATTGTCATCTAACAGTGTACGTATTTTAGGCAAGTGATGACACCATCAGGGTCTGAAGCCAGGATGTCAGGTGTCTTCCTCCGCCCTCCCCCACCAGGGGAAGGAACGCGGGTCATCCCTTCCCTCCATAGCAAGTGGCCCATAGCAAGTGTGCAGAGGACTCCAAGGAAACTGTAGGCCTGAGACCAAAGAGGGGAGAAGCTGAGCTCCTCGGCAACATTGTGCTCACCTGAGCAACCATCACTTGCCGGCTCTTGTGGTGAATGGGAGGGGCCTCCTCACCTAGCGCTGCCCTGAGCCCTTCCGGGGGAGCTCACCTCTGAGGGGCACTAAAATACGATGTGCGTGCATCAGACTTGGGGGCCAGGTGAGCCAGGATTCCCAGACAGGCCTCACATGGTGAAGCTCCCTGGCCAGGCCAGTCCCGCTTCCACTAGTGAGCTGGGCCCTCAACGGGGCCGGAAATAGCCTGCAGGTTGGCTATTTCCTGTTGAGACTTTGTGGGGAGCGAGTTTCACTTTGCTGCTCAAACACTCTGAAGCCAAGGAAGGTGCAGCGCCATCCCTGTGATGGCAGGAAGGGACGGAGCAGGATCTCTATGACCCGAGCAGACGGGTAAAGGAGAGTCCTGGAGCCCTCGGTGGCTTTTCAGGCTTTTATTGGGATTTACCAGGTACACAGCAGGCAGGGGTGCTGGGGGGCCGGCCCCAGCAAGTCTTCACTCTTTCTGGGCTCTCTGGCCTTCTCTCTGCTCCTCTTCTATTTGTTCCTCTTCTGCTTGCGGCCCCATGCCTCCGCCCTTATAAGCCCAGTCTGAGCCCAGGTGAATCCACTCATGCATGCCCACACCCTCCTCCAGGTGCCCGCCATCAGGCATGCTTTCAGGACCGCGGGGATCCATCATCCAGCCTAATGGCGGGAGGGCAGAAAAGCCTGCTATGATTTTTTACCTTACCCTACAATCTCTTACCAGGAAAGATTTATCTTGACCAGATCTAAATCCCTTAATATTACCTTCCAATGAATGGTTCCGCTTGGGAGACTTTATAAACACTCCCGAGCTGCAGCCCGTGGAGCACAGGCTGTGTCACTTGTTGGCCAAGCGCATCCTGCACCCTGGAGGCTGCAGTAACCTCGGGCTCTGAGCAGGCTACAGGTCACCTGACTCCGCTCAGTGTGGTTAGAGGAAAGCTTGCTTCTGAGCCTGTTTTCTGTGAAATGGGGACAAAAACAGTATTTCTCTTCGTGGCATGGCAGGGGGTGCTCAGTGAGTGCCCCGTAACCAGCACGATCAGGAGCCTTTGGGATGAGGAAGGTCTCCTCGGAAGAGAGGGTGACTTTATGGACCCCACCCTCTAGCAGGCTACCCCGCCCCTCCACGCTCCTTGTGGCATGTTTGTCGCAAAGCCACATACATTAGGTCTAGCCTACAAGGCACGGCCGTTCCATCTGATCTCCAGCTGCAGCCCCTTCGAAACTTCCCCAACTGCAGCTTGTTTGCTCCTGTGCCACCTGAGCTATCGCTCAAATGCGTGCAGCTGTGACGAGGGTGGGTGACCAGACTTAACCCCAGGACAAGTGCCTGAGCCTAGCCCCGCCCTGCCCCATCTGCTGCTGATGAAGGGCAGAAGGCACCTCCTAACCCACTTTGCTCCATGAGGCTTCAGTCTGGGGACTGGAATCTAATTAGAATCTCTGCAGTCATCAGGAGCATCTTTATTTGTGGCTATAAAACGGGGACAGTGTATCACCTCCCAAGCCTGCAAGCGCACCTCCGACAAACACTCCCCAGTGGCAGTGGTCATGGCAACGGAGTCAGACAGCACCCAAATGACAAAAGTTACATTTAATTTACAGTGTAATAAAGGTTACAGGTAAAAAGCTACACATAAAGCTTGAAAAGGCCTATTACACAAATGTACAAATCTCTGTACAAATCTCATGTCGATGTTTCCTACCTTGGTCTCCTGTGCTGTTAGCCAGGTCTACCTGGAGTTCTAGATCACGAGAGCTCTGTCGAGGGGGAAGAGCCTCCACGCCAACAACTAAAGAGGTCCTCTTAGAGACGGCGGTCACTTGCAAAGTAAACTCGTTTCCCTTTTAAATGAAATTCTCTAACTGGCCATATCCTTTAAAAAATGCCTTCACAGCACACTTGAGAAGAAAAGTAACGTTTTGGAGTAGAGGATAAGTAGTCTGGAATCAGATGAGGAACTTAGGCAAGTAGAGGACTCAGATCTGACAAGAACAGGCAAGATTCAAACAATACTTAAGTTTAAAAGCATCAACCTGTGTCTATGGCACTGGTCACAGACAGAGGAAAATCAAAATGTTCCCAGTCCAACAGAAAGGACAGGAGAGTGTCTAACCACTGGACCTCCAAACCACTGACCCAGGAAAACATTTTTGAGTTTAAACCTTAGTTTAACTGAAGAATTCTAAGCCAACCTGAGATCTGTGGGAACCCTTTTGCTACCTGGAACTTGTAGGGACAGTAAATATAAATTAGGCAGGAGATGTGATGCCTCCAAAGCTCTGGTTTCAACCTTGAAAGCCTGGAATCTTTCCTTAGGGTGTGTGATTTTAAATAAAAGTTATCCTAGAAATAGAAAGAGGGAGAAGAGAAAGAAGAGGTAATGGAAAGCCCGGGAAGAGCCAGGGCAGTCTCTTGAAAGGAAAACGTGAAACACTTCTCCACGCTGAAAGTGTCCTGAAGACAGGTCTTCACAGGATATTTCAACCCACCCCCCGTTTTAATAGTACATGGTTAGGACCCCAGGAGACGTCTGAAAGACGATACTGCACACATGGAAAGTTTTTCTCCCTAGTTCATTAACTCCCCCATTACCCTTCACCCCAATCCCACCCCATCCCACCCTTCTCCATGACCAAAAATATCAAATCAGTAAGGATGGCGTGGGCTTCTTGCCCGGCCAAGCTTCTTTTGCATATTTCTTCTTTTTGGGTTCGTTGACAGCTTCGGGGTTGTAGACTGCGGGGTTTGGTGCAGGGTTCATGTTCACTGCTGATGGCACGACGGGAGTCAAGTCCACGTCCGGGGCAAGGTTGGGGTATGGCATGGGTAAGCCACCAATCAGTGCTGTCCCGTGGATGCCATGAGGCTGGGAGCCGGCTTCACTGTGCGTGGGGGGCAGGCCCCCGTAGAGTCCTCCACTGAATGCAAAGTTCTGCATGCGCCGGGCCCCCGTTTCCTCCAGGCCCAGGGAGCCAGGGCCCTCCACCCGCTTCTTCTGTGGATCACACGAACAGAGAGAAGAGGTGAGCACAAGAGAAGTGTTAGTCTTTCTTAGTCCAGTCCTAGACAGATTGGGGAAGGACCCTAAACTTCTAGCTTGTTTTGTTTCCTGGACAACCCACAGCTCTGCTGACGTCGCGGGGCTGACGAGACCGCAGAGTGGTCCTCTGACACGCTGGCTCCCCACACACGGCGCCAGACAAGCTGTCCCTCCCTCATCACACCAAGAAAAGTGAGACAGCAGGCGAGCTCTTCAGAAAGTGAAACTTCCTTGGTTTAAGTGACTATTATTTATCCTAAGGTCACACACCCTCTCTTTGAAGGTAAAATCCCTCTTAGGAAACGGAAGTGACAGGAAGTGGCAGATGGGCGAGGGCGTTTAAATCTTCCTCTGGGGGATAAACACCTTCATACCGGGTGTCCAATTTGTAAACAAATGTGTAGCAACTAACCAGTTGACTGGCCGCCTGCGGTTGTGAGTGGAAGGAACTGACTGCAAAGGGATAGGAAGGAATTTTCTGGGGGGTGGGGTGGGGGAAATGGACATTTTCTATATCTTGATTACGGTAGTGCTTACCTGCATGGACACATCTGTCAAAATGTGTGCATTTTATGTGAATTATAGCAAAATGCAATTGATATGAAAGTATAAATATCTGCTGGTTTTATACTTTAATGACAATAGACTATTTCAAAAGGAGGAGGAAAAGAAAGAGCTGAAGGGGAAATATGACCTGACTACTATGGAACTGCACAGAAAAATGTCACCTTGCATTTTTTCACACTGGACTAGAGCTCACGGAAGACCCCCTCACCCGCCTGTGCCTCAGATTAAAAAAAGACTAACCAGGAATCTGACACACCATGGTCTATTCTAAAGAGGTTTTTAAAATAAAAATCTCTACAGCCTCTCTGTCTAGCATCTTCCAATCACTTTTTGAACTGTTCTTCTGACAGGGGTCTCACCACTTTGAGGGGCAGCTGTTCCCTGTGTCATCTACGTGTTGGACAATCAGAACGTCTGTGTAATTTCCACTCCCTAGCTCTGCCACAAACTTGATCTTTAATCTAATTCAGATCTGGGCTGGCTTTCCTATTTGCGCTATTTCCATTCATAACAAAAAGGTATAGCAAAAGTCAGAGGTTGCAGAAATGCAACAATGGCTTTTACTCTGAATTAAAAGGGAAAGGCTGAAGGTCAGTGGGCCTTGCTGCATCCTACTGGGAGGTAAATTTACAGACTCACATCACATCATAATTTACACGTATCAAAGTGGATGGTCACCTGCAGCCTTCTTATGGGACTCTAGGGAATTCTAGATGTAGACAGGTGAAAGTATTTTGAGAGACTCCAAAATGAAGAGTAAAGAGTGTGTTTTAAAATTAAGCACTTAACTACACATAAAAAAGGGTCTTAAACCCGGCTGTATGGTATTTCAGACATTGTTACAGTTTACTTCCTACCTTGACCGGGACCACTGCTGTCTGTACCATGTTCCGGAAGCGACCAACGGAGGGGTCCACATCCTCTGCAAAAAGAGATGAGGAAAGGGTTAGGCTGGGACTCTGCTAGAAGGCGTTGGGGTCCAGGGAACACTGCGAACAAAGCAATCACAGCAACTCCTAAGAAAACAGTGAAATACAGCTGACACTTCACGTGGCCAGGCACTGTGTCCAATCCTCACAGTAACTGTGCATGAGGAACTACCCTGTGCTCTGCTGGAGAGCGCAGGACGCAGGATTTGAGTCCAGTAGCCAGAAATAGGCTGTGGTGTGTGCCATATAACTTCTCTTTTGAGAGGGGAAAAAATAGAGCAGACATGATCAAATCCCACAAGGCCACACACCCACGTACCTTGCTAATGCCTACTTATTAGCAAATCACAGAATTAGAACTCAGTTTTGGCACTACCAACTTAACTTGGGCTTTTCACCTGCACAACTAAATATGATGAAGACTTTCCACTAAACAACCTGAAGTCCTCTGTCCCTTTGCACAGCGTACACACCTCATATTGTACCCCACAGACCTTCTAGCTTCACTGGCAATGCGGGGGGAGAACATTAAGACCAAGTAAGGGATGGGCCTCCCTGGTGGCGCAGTGGTTGAGCACTGGGCTGCGAAGCTGCCCGCAGCCTCTGCAGCGCCGGTTCGATCCCCGGCCGCCGCAAGGGTCCCACATGGCGCACAGACCTCTCCTGCTGCACCCGCTGCTCGCCTCAGCAGTGTACTTCGTCAGTCTGCCTGTTCTTTTCCCGCTCTGGCGAATTCTCTCACCCTCCCGTGCTTCTGACTGTACCCAGTGCTTATATAAATAAATAAATAAATCTTAAAAAAAAAAAAAAGAAAAAGAAAAAGAAAAAAAAGACCAAGTAAAGGACATGCATAGAGCCAATGAACCTCTCAGGTCTCATTCATTGGACATGGAAACAAAGAGAAAGACCCTGCTCACAGACTCACAGCTGTAAAGCCAGAGAGGCTACAACGCAGTGGAAGTGGTTCCACAGAGGTGGGGAAGAGCGCTTGCAAAGTAGAGATGACGGAACTGCATCACCCAAGATGCAGCAGGCCGAATGTGGGGCAAGAGGCAGGCCAAACTTATTACGAGAAAAATAACTCCAAGCCCCTTTTATCTTACGGTGGCAGGAAAGAACCCATTTCTCTACTAGATGCTGTACATCTTATTTTAAATTCATGGAAGGCACTTGCTATTTAAAGCAACACTGTCATTTGTTTTCCTGTGGAAAACAAATAAACCCCTAATTTGTCTTTTTTTCCACATTTTATTTAAATTTTATATTTTATATTCCCCATACAATTACAACCCCCTTATTTTGACCCAAGCCCTCCTTTCCCCACCCCCAACCCCCATAGAGTGTCTGTGAATAAACCCCTAATTTGTTTTAAGACTGGCTTTTCACAAATTAGGAAGCCTTTAAAGAATATACCCTACTATTACATTCATAACCAATCTTAGCTCAATGAATGAACAAATGACTTCTATAGGGAAGAGGAGGCAAAGATAATAAGGTTCATTAGGAGAGAGATCAAGTCTCTAAAAAAAGAAACCTCTTTTCTCTCATCCCCACAGGAGCTCTATTCTAATCATTTCTTCAGTGAGGCAAGTGAAACGAAATACAAGAGCGACTAGAGCCCAGTAGCTGGAATGCACCTTGCACAGGCAACAGGCTTGTGCTGGCTGAGGTGCTCAGGCCACTCTCCCTTCTCATTCTCTCTGGCCTTTCTACTCCTAGAGAAGACACGCCCATTCCAGGGTTATCTGCTGACAAGGCCCCTACGAACTGTTTCTAGGACAGGAAAGACTTAATGGGTAAAAAGCAGCAGATGATGGTGACAAGGGTTTATGTTCATCATGAGCTCACTGAGTGCTGAACACTGACCTGACATGTACATGTATATGTACATTATCTACTCTCCCCACCAATCCTGGGAGGTCAGTGGTCTGTTAAGTCGCTTGGCTGGTCACATAGCTACTAAGAGAGGTGGATTTCAAACCTAGGCTCTCTTATTTCAGAACTGGTATGTTGTGTTTTTTTAATATTAAATTTTTTTTTTTGCATATAAGAATTGGGTGTAGGCCAGAGGTGCGGGGTTGAGAGGATTCACCAGAGACAGAGTGGGAGCAGAACAGGCAGATTGACTGAAATACACTGCTAAGGGGATTTTGCTGTGCCATGTGGGTTAGTTAGCTTTTGATAGTACTGAGACTTTAACCCCTGTGCCACCCAGGAGGCCCCAGAACTGGTGTGTTTTTTTTTTTTTAAAAAGATTTATTTATGCATACAAGAGCTGGGGCACAGGCCAGAGATGTGGGGGGTGAGAGGACTCACCAGAGACAGAGTGGGGAACAGAACAGGCAGACTGACAGAAATACACTGCTGAGGGGAGCAGTGGGCAAGATAAGAGAGGTCTGCTTCGCCATGTGGGTTGCTCCCTGGTGGGCCGGCGGTCGAACTCGTACTGCAGAGGCTTCAGATTGCTTCATAATGTGATGCTTAACCCCTTGCACCACCAGGGAGGCCCCAAACTGGTGTTCTTAACTGCTATGCAATACTATATGAATATACTTCCTTAATAAAGCTCAGGGCAATAATTTCTAAGGAGAAAAACAGAACAGATCAGACCTTAAGTCGTAAAAGAGACTTAAAATACTGTGAAGTCCATGGTTCCCAAATTGCTATTCATCAGGACAAACAAGAGCTTGTTTAAATCTATAAATTTCTGGGTCTAACCCCTAAAACTTACATTCAATCAGTTCTGGGGTCCAGAAATAAGCATCCCGTATTTGGAAAGCCGCTTAGGCATTCATTGCCTAAAGAGTAATCCCGTACACTTTACACACCACCAGAAAGTGAACTTGCAGTCACTGGAACAAATGCTCCACTCTCACGGCAATCCTCTGAATTCTTCTTCTGAACATAAACCAGAATTCACTGTTGCTTTCTTTTTTTTTTTTTTATAGAGGCATGTTTTTTTATTTATTTATTTGTTTGTTTTGTTTATACATGCACTGGGTACAGTCAGAAGCGTGGGAGGGTGAGGGAATTCACCAGAGCCAGAGTGGGGAGCAGAGCAGGCAGAAGAACCGAAGTACACTGCTGAGGGGAGCAGCGGGCGGCAGGAGAGGTCTGCGCGCCATGTGGGACCCTCCTCCGGTGGCCGGTAGCCGGGGAGCAGCCGGGGATCGAACCGGCGCTGCAGAGGCCGAGGGCAGCTTCGCAACCCAGCTCTCAACCGCTGCGCCACCGGGGAGGCCCTCACTGTTGCTTTCTAAGATGAGTCAAATACTTGCTGCTGACTGGCTCTGGTTTTGTCCTCTCCTTCCTCCTTAAGCCATGCAAACATCTGGCCAGTGGCAGACCAACTGCTCTCCAGATTCCCCATATTACCAGCATTCAGGGGACCATTTTCCATAGTTGTGAGTCTCCTCATCTTCAGGACTACATTACACATTGATGGTTAAGACCACACTTGCATTTGGTAACACTCTTGGGTGAATTCTGCTCAGAACACAGGCCAGTGTGGAGTTCTCTAGTAATGCAATCTTAAAATGCACTTGGCTAGTTTCCAAACCACCCCCCCCCATGACTCAGGCTGCATTTTCAATTAAGTAAAATCCCTAGATTTTTTTGTTTTTTTCCATGAGCGGTTGCTGGAATATATCTCCATTTGAGTAATCGGTATTTGGAATCTAAATGCAGGATGTCAACGTTATTTTCATTCCATTTCGATCAGAGATACAAAAAAAGCAACCTGTTAGTCTGACATCTTTGTTTCTAAACAAGGTTTTCTGAATCCCAATTCTGTCTTCATTGTATAAACTGTATCTCCTAGCTCCACGTCATCCACCTACCTGAAAACCTGGGCAACAACATGAGCCCAATAAATGAATGCTGAATGATGGAGCAAATTGGTAAACTTAGTGGTCTTCCTATAAACTGATGCTTGTATCTTCTGACATCTTCAGACAGAAACTGTAACTTACTTCCTTACAGAAAGGAAAGTCTTAATATGCTAATTAATAGTAGCAGTGAGGGCCTCCCTGGTGGCACAAGGAGTTAAGATGTAACCTATGAAGCTATCTGCAGGCACTGCAGCACGAGTTCAATCCCCAGACAAGGAGCTACCCACATGGCACAACAGACCTCTCCTGTCTCGCCCGCTGCTCCCCTCAGCAGTGTATTTCAGTCTGCCTGTTCTGTTTCCCACTCTGTCTCTGGTGAATCCTCTGGTGAATCTCTCATCCCCCACACCTCTGGCCTGTACCCCAGTTCTTGTAGGCATAAATAATCTTTTTTAAAAAAACAGTAGCAGTGGAGGACCCCAATCTTAAGAGTTATCAGTCATACTCAGAACACCATCAAGACAATAATTGTCTACTTTCAGGTAAAGACAGCCAACACCTGTACTCCACTTAAAACCCCATTATGCCACATGCCAGATCAGCAGGGAGGAACTGCAGCCATGTCCTGTAGACTGATTATATGGGTCCTTCCTTCCCCACTTTTATCCTTCAACTACATACTGCCTGAGTGGCCAGGGGCCCCCACCAATGAACTGTACAAAAATATCTCCCCTTGGGCCTCCCCTGGTGGCGCAGCGGTTGAGCGCTGGGCTGCGAGGCTGTCCGCAGCCTCTGCAGCACCAGTTCGATCCCTGGTCACCGGCAAGGGTCCCACATGGCGCGCAGACCTCTCCTGCCGTTCCCGCTGCTCCCCTCAGCAGTGTATTTCGTCAGTCTGCCTGTTCTGCTCCCTGCTCTGGCTCTGGTGAATTCTCTCACCCTCCCGTGCTTCTGACTGTACCCTGTGCTTGTATGAATAAATAGATAAATCTTTAAAAGAAAAAAAAAAAATCTCCCCTTAATATGGCACCTGTTGTCCTAAACCTTATTGAGAAACATCACAACTGACCCAAAGTTGGTACACACTATGCTCTCAGACCACAGCTTCTCCATCAAAGAAACCAGGAAGATACTTCACCTGGGTTGATGATCTCATCATCCTCACTGAAAGTCACCCGTGAGTTCTTCCTCTTTCTCTTTGGTCTCTGAATGTCCAGATTCCCCTCCTCTATGGTGAGGGTGGAAATCCGCTTGTTGTGGGCAGTGTTTGAACTCTGTCAGGTTCTACGCCAGGGCACACACAAGAAAGACAGGAGTCAGTACCAAGGGAATTATGAAATTACAACACTAAATAAAGGGCAGGAAGGCATTAGCTTACTTTGACCCACGG